ATGCACCAAGAGCTTGTAACACTCCAAAGAGAAAGGAAAAATTGAAATCGCATCATATGACCCCTTTAATGAAAAGCCTATAACATACTTTGGTTAAAATTTCTCAATGGCAGTGTAAAACGACACCCTTTTTACCCTGTCAAAATCAGCTCTGTTTTCAGCAAGCCGTGCACATTATTAGGAAAGGCGATTTGCAAAGATTCATAAAAGAACCTTATACTCACTTCTTCTGTAGGTGAGGCTGGATCACTAATGATTTGCGCGAACATAAACGCATTTAGGCAGATACGGAGGATGCATTCCCTTCAAAAACAAATTTAATCCACTGTGTCTTCAGCGGCTCAGATGTCGGGAGTAAATGACGACTGCTGTATTCATTATTACATCCAACAAAAAAACACCTCAATCGCTTAGGAGTCATTCTTGTCTACATCTGCTCCAGCGTCGAAACAATGGAGGACTGATGACAGCTCACTCAGGGCGGGTCTAAGGTAAGACACCAGTGTCAATCAACTATCGTGGGGAGGGCCTGGGTCTGTGTGACGTCACACAGACAGGCATCTGAGAATGGCTTAATATGAGAAAGGGGAAATTATTTAACGAGATAAAAAAAAAACGGGTGGATCTTTATCATTATAGGGTGGTTGTGTACGCACAGTGTTTTGTTTTTTTTTTGGTGGGGGGGGGTCTTTGCCAGCGCGATCACTTGCTGTTTTTTCTAACAGTGGAAACAACTTAAAATACGCAGTCATTTTTGCTCATAGAGGTAAGAGTAATACGTCATTCTAAACTGTAAAGGGTCTAGTTTTATTTGTGTGCACTCACAATATCAACAAAATGCTGTTAGACGCATATCTAATCGTTTGTGTGGAGAGTGGAAGCTGAAGTGCGCTCTGCAGGACATGGATTTTTTTTCTAACAGTGGAAACAACTTAAAATACGCAGTCATTTTTTGCTCATAAAGGTAAGAGTAATACATCATTCTAAACTGTAAAGGGTCTACTTTTATTTGTGTGCACTCACAATATCAGCAAAACGTTGTGCTTTTATAAAATAAAGAAAAACGCTTTCTGCCGTCTCGGTTTTTAGCAGGAGCGCTTCACAATTATGAACTTAAACTCAGCTAATTGTCTCACAGGCATGATAAAAATATATAGAAAGCTTTAAACTACTACTTTAAAATGAAATCATTCAAATCAAAAATAGAAACTATTTCATTATGTAATCCCTAAAGATGCATTTCTCTCTAAAGGCACGTCCAATGAGGAGTAATTTTTTTCCACCATAATTGATGGATGTCTAAAATATAAAAATAATAAAAAAGACTAAAACAGGCCCGATTACAATTTGCGTTTTATTTTATAATTCTTTACAATTAAAAAATAAAACACAAATTATAATGGCGTATATGTAAAACTTTGTCCTATAATTGTATAGCTGCTTATATTTTCTGATTTTTATGTTGCTCTGTTCTGAATACCTTAAAACTTAAAGGATTTGCTGCAACGCAATTTTGTCTGATATGTGAATTATTAGCCTATTTTTTTTTAATCCATGCAGCAAATGCTTTAAAAACAGCTTTAAAAAATACTTTATTGCATTCCAGATGATTTTAAAGAACGTTACACAAAATTTTTACGGGTAGCTTGAATGTAAAACATTGTCATGAATTCGTTGTATTCCCATTTGTAAAATAGACTACAAATG